TCACCAGTCCTCTGCGAAACAGCCCCTAAGGAATGAATAAAGTCAGTTTGTCTCACCGTTGCAATGTATTGCTAACCTACTCTACAATCGATTGCCATGACTTGACTTCGTGCATTTTCGTAAAAATTACAGCTGAGACATAAAGTTAACTAATAAGTGTTAAGAAAAAAATTTATACACCACATCTCAGAATGATGAAAGGAAAATTGACTATCATCCGTCACTATGACAGAGGGAAATATTCCAGCGATTCAATTCCAGTCAGCAAACTTAGACTTTTAATGTGAGAAAAAACTATTAGTGGTACTACACAGGCTTCCATCTAGTTTATAATATGATAATAAGTGTTAACCTAACCGGTTTTGCTAAACATAGTTTTTAATAAAATCAAGCACATAAAGTTACATTGAATACATGTGTGATCCCTTTGCAATTGCTGGGTCTTCTTTCCACATGACTGTGACAATGACAAGCAGGGTTCAAAATAACAGTCGGCTGCCGCCGGCAGCCGGAACTTTTAGCACCCTTGTTAGCGATTTTTCACCGAAGAACTAAAATTTTATAGAAATTATTTTGCTTACCGATCTTCCAACTGAAGTAAAAGTCGCTGTCATGTTATGGTGAACATTTCATATCAGGCAGGAAAGTAGCCAAGAAATGTCTCCAAAGCTTCTTGGAAACGTAAATGAGTATAAAGTTTCGAAATTTGAAGCGTACAACAGAGGGTATTTTAGTCCACAGTATTCAGCTCAAGCGTGAAACATGCAAGTTTGTGACCACACCGTCACATTACCGTGTTTGTGTCTCTGCACGTACATACTACCTTTAGTCAAGATTTATTCTCCGCCAAATCCTGTTTAGTGTCGTTTGCAAAGCCTTCTCGCTCGTTCAAATAGAAGTCAGTACTTGACTGTACGAATTTCCTATAGCGTGAATGGAGAAGCGCGACAATTTGTCCGAACAAAGTTGTATATTTCACGCTTGAACAAACACGGAAGAGATTCTAATGCTGAAATTATTTTAGCAATTTAACGTATACTATATGTACAACATATACATACATATTTTCTTAAACAAGAAAAGGTTTCTCAAGGGAAAGAGTAAATTTTGATTCAGGAAGATTTTAGTCATTGCTAGGCAACGGGTCCCGTTTCAGCAATACACGCAAATTTCTTATTGACAGCTGGGGAAAAAAAGAGCCTAGACAAAAGCCTACAAATCCAAGCTAAAAGCTGAAAAATTATTTTGAACTCTGGACAAGCAGTGTCGGGGCGATAAAGGTGCCATACCTGTTCTCAGTTCACCGCTCTCTTTCTGGAATTCCTGTCAGTAGGTACAAAGCGTAAACAATTCAATATAAAGAAACTTGTTTCTCAGGTATTTCTGTCCACGACATTTTATCAAACATCGAAAAAGGATATACAAATAAATGGCCGACGTTGAAAATAGCTGGATCACACACACACAAAAAAAATGATGATAGTTAACTGAACGAGACACATATATCATAACACCAAGACTGCTTCTTGTGACGCTAAGAATGCCGGAAGACTGAGGAAGGTTTGATGTTCATTCTTTCAGCACACGTAAGAATTAACAACTATTGGTTTTGTAGCTTTCATTACCAGTCAACCACACTGATGGATCACAAAGACACAACCCCCTCATAAAATTCCCATATCGCTATGCCTTACTAGAGATTCGAAACTGCTTTTTGAAATTACAGAAATTGTTTTTCTGCCACAAGCAAAAATTTCTTCAAATGAAACAAATTGTAGTCAGTTCAAGCTTACCGCCATTTTTTGACCAAGGCCACTGAGAGGATCAACTCTCGATACCAAACTCTCTCCTCTGCTATACACTAAAGACAGAAAATTAGAAACGTTTAATCATTCAAGAATGCATTAAACACAAAATTGAGTCAGTCGAAAAGCAGTGGAAACTTGATGGTCTGAGCCTAATCAAATCAGTTTAAAGTTTTGAAAGTTGGGCTACTCAATGGAATTTTAACGCAGTCAGCAAACCACTTATTTCAAACGACTCTTAAATAACGGAGATCAAATCACATGGTATCTACAGCATGAAGTTCCCTTTCTCTTGAGAAATTCGCGAGTGAAGCGGCGAGTGGCTTGGTTTGTGAACCATGCATTTCACGGGAAACCATGAGCACAACAACGAAACTCAATTAACGTTGACGGCTTCTCTGGAAGCCACTAGATGCAATTTGTTATCGGAAAGGTTGTTATCGGACAGTTCAATCGGTCAATCACATTCAAAGTTGTGGTTAACATCAACTAAATAGCACGTGAAAGAAAAACTTTGCTACTCTTCTTTTCTCGGAAATTGTAATTTTCATGATTAA